GGCGGCAGTCGAGGGACGACAGACGACAGTGGACAGATGAGCTAGACAGCAGGGTCTGCTCATTTTGCGGTGATTGCGGTTCCCTACATCGCCACATCTGCTGCACATCAACCAGAGATACTGAGGATGATGCTGAGACTGAGTCGGAGTCGGAGTCGAAGCCGGGCGGCATTACAAGCCTTAATAGACAAGCGCAGCAAGCGGTGAATAAGATTAATGAAGCCGTTTAAAACGCTTCGGTTGTTTATCATCAACGCTGCTGTTGCTCCTAATGCGCCCGCTGCCGTAACTCGTCTTAGCCATTAGTCGCTGTCTATGAACTCTGAGGATGCGGCCTGGGCATTGGGCACTGAACACTGAACACTGAGCACTGAGCATTGGGCAACAGGCTAATAGCTGACGTTGCTTATTAAGTCGCCATAAACCATAAGCTCACGTTCACACCACAGTGGAGCAAATCTAAAGCCGTTGTGGCCCAAATACCGAATAACTGACTCGCAAGATAAAGGCTCTATAAATTGCTATTATGTGCCGATTACTTCCTTAGATATCATATTATTTGGGTAGCTTTGATATCTAATTCAGGTTTAAATTTAAGTGTAGATGGAAAAGAAATAATAATACTTAGAGGTAATGGTAATAGCTAGCTACCAGTAGACAGTTACTAGTTGATGTAAGCTAATAATTTAGGAAGCTAGCAGTTAGTAGACAGAATAGTTGCTAAGATTATTACGATGATCTTGGTCATGATTTTTATGCAAAATAATATCAGAACATCTTTGCAACAAAAGCAACCGACGAGATGTAGATTTATAAAATGTGAAAATTCATAGCGAGACAATGCAATCTAAACAAGCATTTTAAAAGAACGAGTTCTTGGTGCTTTTATTAAAAGCTAAAGTTCCATGACATATTCTCTTGTGAAATATCTGAAGATTTCTCCAAGATTCTTAAGAAATTCATCAAAAAATATCAACTATCGTAAAAAAAAACTTACTATATCTAAATTCTTATAAAACATTCCAATAAACTTAGGACTATTGTTTCAATAAGTAAATAAGAATAGTATATTCTTTGCTTAGCAGAGGAATTACAGATACCTAAGAAAATAAATTATAAGGCTTGGAAATAAGTGCTTCGGTTACACAATTCGATGACCCGACTTTTGATAAGTATAGTGCGAATAATGCTCATATACTCCATCGTATGTTGTGTATAAAATATATATGTTTATTAAAGGCTATTCCGCCCATTGCTGCCATTCCATTGCCTGATAAATGATGGTGGGCGTGTGTACAGAAATTCGAGATTTGACGCATTTGCACGGCTGTGACAGCTCACAGTTGAGTTGCCGCCAAAAAGGGGTTTGGGTTCGGATTCGGGTTCAGGTTCTGGGCCGCCTTTGATTAGCCAGTGCCAGTGTGGAGCCATGAGAGGAGCTTCCTTGACATGCATGACCCACAAAGCTGCGAACATGGCATGCCAGGCCGCCCATTTCGTGCTGCTGTTGATGCGAGTTCAAATGCTCAAATGACATTACAGCCTATGCAATTAAAATTCTGAAATTGAGGCAACAACTGCCGGCTGTTGCCGACTGCTGCCGACTGGCTGTCTATCGGGCACACATCATTGGGCCGTGCTGATGAGGCGTGTAGCATTTTTATGGCCAAACACGTAGAGCAAACATTTTGCGCTTGACAATTTTTGCCAGCCAGTGACGGTCGTACCCTTTTTTTTTACGATTTTCTAGCCAGCAACAAAAAGACGTTGACGACAACGGCAATAGCAACAGCAAGAAGAGAGATGACGACGTCGAGTTCGACTTTAGTGCAATGGCCAGAAAGGCAGGTAGGCGTTTGGCCCCAGTTGAAGTCGTCTGGTACTTGTCGTATATTTTATTGGTCCTAGAGATCTTTTTGGAACGATAACAAGTTTGATTTGTACGGCAAGCGAAACGGGTTATGATTGACGGACTGACGGGCAACTTGGCACCGCTTTGCTGGCTGGCTGGCTGGCTGCCTGCTTCGTCGGTCGTCGCTTGGCGACATTGACAGGCGGATAAGCTGAACCAAGCCAAGCCAAACCGAACCGAACCGTACCTAACCGAACCAAGCTGAGCCAAGCTGGGACGGCGCACTGGGAGACGACAACGCCACTTGCACGTACATGTAATCCAACTGGCTGTCCGTCCATGCTATCGAATGTGCGTATGTGTGTGTGTGTAGTTTGTTATAAAATTAATGACCCTCATTTTGTATTCAAGTGTTATCGAAATGATTGCTGAACATTCTTGGCAGCAGGCCTATGAAAAATATGGGCTTGGTTTAATATGCTTACAATAAAATAAATTTCTTGCCTAGGCCTGATATTTTTTCTTCGATGTTTGTATTTTTTCCTCATATTTTGTTTACATGCGCACTCTTTGTAGTTGGTTATTTATTTGCTGGCTTGTTGTGATTTGGCAGCCAATTAAAATAAAATTATGCGCGCTTCATTAATTTGATTTATTTAACGCGCTGCTGTGACAGCGCACAAGGTCAACTTCAGCTTCAGATTCAGATTCAAGCTCAGTCGCAGACACGGTTCGATTGTTGGCCTCAAGTTTGCAGGGTGGCAATGCGTGGTAATAAGTGTATAGTGTGCTCTTAATTGTCAGGCATCGTATATCTTGGCTTGTGTACCACAAGGCGTATGAGTGCTGTCTGTCGCCCTGTTTGCCTGCCTGCCTGCCAGCCTAACAACCGTTTCGACACCTCATTTTTTTTCATGCACATTGCCGTTTGAAAAATCTCTTTCAACTCACACTCACGCTCGCACACCGACTGACTGGCTCACACACAGGCTGTGGCACTTGTTGAGGCGTATCCGAACGCAAGTTGGTCATGTAATTTGCTGCTAGATAAATGTCTTTGAGCTTATCACGATGTCTTAAACTGCCGAGCAGTCGAAGCTGTGGCTGTGTCTAAGGCTGTTGCTGCTGCTGCTGCCTTTCTTGCAGCTGTTGATGGGAATAATTTATGCCAAGTTTAGTGCAAGCTCACACGAAATTGTAAGCACGTGGGAGCGGGCAACCATCCCATGCAGCGGGCTGCTGCCGGCGGAGGGATGGGGCAGAGCTGCAAATGTGCAAGTGGCACGTTTACTTTCACAAGTCAGCACGTGAGCCCCAAGGCTGTGTGAATGGGAATATAAGTATGTGTGTGTATGACCTCATTTATGACCGCAATTCTGTCGACTGCACAAAAATCTGTAGCAACAACTCCCACAACCCGTTCATTCATTAGCAACAAATTGTGCCCGAATTGTGCATAAAATACAATTTTATGGCCGCCACACAAAACACAATCATTTCCTAAGTCCGCTAACATGCATCCACCTATTTACAAATTGATACCCCAGAGTATGTGGAATTGGCTCTGAACCTGGTGGCTACTAATATTAGGCGATCTACCATCATCAATTTCTGACCAATATTTAACGAAATGAAAAATTAATGTGGACTGGTCCAATGGCAAAATGTTGTGCTCCGATCTTTGGAGAGGCTGCTTGTAGTTTGATATAAACTTGATGTGCACATAGATGCGACAAGTCTACACGCCATGTTTGGGGACACTAGCTGTTATGCTTTAGAAGTTCTTGAGGTTCATACGGACGTACAGACGAACAAACGGTCAGACCAACAGAATAATATGCTTGCTTTTGTGTAATTGTTTTCAACAACAATCATCTACATCAAAAATCTCAAACAGCTATGAAGTCCATTATTCATTCTGCAGGAGTAGTCCATTATTCATTCATAGGAAGGAATAGCACCAGCAGTGGTGTGTTCACCACTTGTGGAACTGCAGGGTACACACTCTTGTTGCGATATGCATGTGTGAGCTTAGTAATTTTCATTAGTTTATTTGCTGTTTTTCGCGTGTTTTGGTTTTGGGTTCGCGTTTTTTGCTGGTCAAGTTGGCAATTTGGCAAAGCGTGAAATGGGTTTCAGGCCATAACACCGCACCAGATAGCCAAGCGACCAAAAAACGAAACGAAACAAAACCAAACCAAACAAAATAAAATGGTAGAACATGCCCGCCGACTCTCAATGAGTATGTAGGTGCAATGCTGCGCAATCAAAATGGCGGCAGTGCGGCCATAAATCTTGACAATGACTGCCCATTGCAGCATTGTGGTCGCTTTTGTTGCCTTTGTGGAATATAACTTCATTTGTGTGTCGAGATTTGCACCAGAAATGTCAGTGAGCAGCAAAGTCTTGAAGTGGAAACATTTCACAGTCTCTGCAGTGGCCGTGATTCATGCATGGGAGGCTTGGGCTTGGGCTTGGCCGTAAATCACAAAGGTACTACAAAAACTGAACGAAACGCCAACAGAATGAAATGCGCAAATGTCTGCCCATTTGCCCCGCCCCAACTCCTTCTGCATCGACTCCTTCACCCCCGTCCAACACCCCTGTCTCCCACAACATGCCACTTGCTCATTGCATGCACAACTCCAGTAAACGACGACTGTCGCATATTGACAAGCAACTGCTGACTGACTGCTGAGTGTCGTTTTGGGGCTGTTTGTTTGGCTAACGCACCTGTGCCCCAATAGTGAGCTAACAGGTAGCCAGACAGGGGAGGGGAGCGGGGGCGGGGTGGGGGCGACACAGCTCCAACCAGCATACCAACGAGCCAGCCAGCCCAACTCTGTGGCAGTGGCAGCTGCAGCACGTGCTTTATGTTAATTATTTGTTCGGAATATGGGCGTGTGTTGTGACTTTAATTGAAGCAGAAACAAAAAGAGTTGGGCTTAGATACGACTACGCGGCAATATAGTGGCCGTGCCAGAAAGGCCGCACACTCAATTAATCGTACATTATCTGAATTTCTTCACATTCGGTAGACAAAGCAGAGTCGTGGGTACATTATGGACCCATCTGAGTCGAGAATGATGTTACGACTTTGTAAATATGCCTGTGGAATATAAAGAATGCTTGAACAGCCTATACTTACATTCACTTTGTTATCTGTTTAAGCTTTATCTGAAATTAGAAAACAATTAAAATTTAAATTAGAAACGGATATGACATTTGACAAGTATTGTAATAAAACTAAGTATTTGAAGAGCGCTTTTTGAATGAAAGATTAGCAATTTCTAATACAATTATCATATAATGCACATAATTTGAAAAAAAAAAACCCACCTCACAGCTACCAAAAAGATGTCGAGAAACGACTACTACTTCAACCCAAAGGTGAAAAGTTTGTACTAGATGGAAATAAATAATAATCGGGTTAGGAAAACGTACTCAGAAAATGCAAATTATTGGTAAATGTGAAATTATGTAGTTAATATAATTAGCTCCAATTATTCATCAAATATTTCTGCGGCTTTATGGAGGCAGTAGGCGTCGAAGCCATCAGCTAAAAAGCTAATAGCTTTGTCCCTTGCAAATAAAACACTCTATTTTCTTTCAATTCTAAGACAATGTTTATAAGGCAAAGTTTTAAAATTTCGTTGTTAAATTGTTCAAAATAGAATGATTGCAATGAGAAAAGCTGTGAAGAGCACTTTAGAGTCGGCGTGCCTTGGAACCAGTTTCGTTGCTTGCGTTTGCTTTTTATTGCCGCGTTGCCAGAAAATCAGCTTTAATTTCAAATGCAGCTCTAAAAAGTCATTCAGAAACGCATGCACCGCAGTTTAATAAACTCAATTAATTGAGTGTGTAATAAATTTTTATGTATTTTATCTTGTTAAGTGCGCAACTACAAGTTCATTTGTATGTAATTGAACGCATGGCGGCGAACATGGCGTATGCGCAATGTCTCACTGCAAATTAACATCAACTGTCAGTCCGCACAAGCTATTGTCGCTGTTGTTGCTGTTGTTGTTGTTGTTGGCAGGCATGCTGATTAAAGTCAGAGTGTGCAACGAAGTGGGGAAGTGTTGTCAGCTTATGGGCAATAATGTGCAGCTCAGACCTTGCTGCCGAGACAGACCTTCTGAGCTACGACTCCAGTTGAGCGTCGGATCTTGGGCGAATTGGACACAGTGGTGGTCTTTGTCGCTCAACTGCCCCTAAACGAGTTCAAGTTTAGGCATTCAGCAGGCAGCAGTGGGGCAGGCAGCCGAGCATGTGGAGCGCATTTAAGCGCAGGCATAGCTTTTAATTAAAAGTAATGCGCGCCAGTTAGGCCAAATATTTTCCCCTTCTACTCTGGCCATTACGGCTCAGCTCTTTGCCATTTCTTCTACTTCTTCTAATGTCTTCTCCTGCCGCTGTCGCTGCTGCGTTCTTTCGTTTTGGGGTGGCGCACCCATCAGCCTTAGATTCTTTTCCCGCCGTTCTTTCACTCACGTTGCGGGTCGTGGAGGTTATTTATTTGATAGCCATGCCAAACAAGCCACCAAGCCACCAACCGACCAACCACCAACGGGCGCTGGCCAAAGCCATTTGGTCAAATGTTGCGGCCAAATCACAGCGGGCGGTGCGACGGGCAAGAAACAACAACAACAACAACAACAACAGCAATAACCGAAAATTCAAAAATGCCAAAAAACAAAAAAAAAACAGCACATTGATTGTTGTTAAAAACTGAAAGCCGTGCCTGAATTATGCGCAGAACAAAACTCAGCAGCCATCGTCGCGAGTTTAATGCTCGAAATATGCAAAATCATGAGTCTGCGTTGCTTTTAAATTGTATCATTAAAATGTGAGGCAGATATCGGGGGTCGCCGCGTGCGGCAGCAACACTTAAAAAGCAACAGAAACTACAGCAGCAGCAGCACCACCAGCAACCACAACAACAACACCAACAACAACAACATTGCGAACGGCACACAAATTGTAGAGAGAATTTGTATGTTTAATTTTTTTCCGGCTTGTTCATTACAAATTTTGATTGAACCCAGACGGATGCACGGACAGCAGAAATAAAGGGCGCGGGAACGAACTCTGTGGCGGATCAATCAATTTTTTCTCGGCTGCTAATAAATTTTTTGATATGTTGTACATGTAATAAAAAATTTTGAAAAACAAAAAAAACTCACAGCAAAAAGAAAACCACAATTGAACTATAAATAGAAAAAAATACAAAGTGCGGCTCTGGTAGCAAAAAATATATACATATATACGAGTATACTTGTATATTTGGGAGTTCAGTTTTTGGTCATGCTGTTAATTTAATTTATTTTGTGTGCTTAATTAACGATATGCCGGGTCAGCCAAACACTGATAGGCCACGTCTAGGCCCGCTGGCACCAGCAAATACCCACACAGAGCTGAACAAAGCCAATAGATGGGATTAGATTGAAATTACAACGAACATATGCCCACCTATTGTATTGGCCCTAATGATATGGCGATACCATAATTGAGTTATATTTTCAACCACACTATAGAGTAATTGAGAGCAGAAATACACTCAACAAAAAGACAAATGTTGCAAAACTAGTTTTAAAAACCAAATAGACCTTAGGATTTAAACTGTTCGTTTTATTCATCAAAGGATTTTGAAAGTCTTTTCTAAACTCGAATTACTTAATACTTTAAAAAAGAGCTTCTTGTTCTCGAACATGCTGATCATAAGAAGTCTTTTATGGATGGGATTTGCGACAGAGCTTACATTTTCTTTATAATGTTTTCTATTTGCATTTTTTTCTTATTTTAGAATGATGGCTTTTGGCAGTATCGTGGATAGGTTATTGGTTGTAGTGGAGTTGCGTTGTACAATCGGGGGCTGTTCCCTAGAGACAAGTAGTGGTGTTTAGATGCAGCTTACTCGTCACCAATTGCCAGGTGCCAATGGGCTGGTAGTTGTCACTTGGGGCGCAATGTTTTAGACTCGACACGCAATATGAACATTTGAATATACTGTGGGGTATATGGGTTTTCGAGAGTAGTACAAGTATGCCACGCTAATAGCATAAGTATGGAGAGGTCCGTTTTGCAGTCCTCTTTAGTTCAGTTTAAACAAGTAAAAAAGCTAAAGTCGGGTGTCCCGACTTTGAAATACTCTGTACATATGTTTACAATAATTATAGAAAATAAAAAAAATTAAGAAAATAAAAAAAAAATTTGATCGATTTTACCTCTCTCGGTATTCGAACTCACGTAAAGGGTGTATAATTGCACATTTACATAGCAATTGCGTCTGTGTGAGTGTATGTATGCCTATGCGCATCAATTCGTGTCTGTGTAAGCATTTTCGCAGTCAACCAAACAGCAACATCGACAACAGCCGCGGGCAGCGCTTGAGCAGCGCTGCAGCAGCAAATATATTTATGGCTATAACTTCTTGGTAAATCGGTAAATAATTACTAACTGGGGGTATTTGCAAAATTTTAGTTCGAAATTCCAAGAATTACGGGAGTTAGAGAAAATCGCATTTGCGGGGGAGAGGGGGGAGGGAGGGGAATTCCAAAATATACATTTTCTGCGTATTCACACAAGGCATCTTGGACTAAAATTTGGTGTGCCTAGGTCTTATAGTCTCCGAGATATAGGCGATTATACGAATGGAAAATCGGGAAAACCCCCATAGGGGGGAAGTGGGGGGGAAAATCAAAAAAATAAAACAAACTCGTATAGAATACACACATAACGCATCTTTGTGGAAAATTTGGTGTCTCTATCTCTTATAGTCTCTGAGATCCAGGTGTTCATACGGACGGACAGACAAACAGACAGGGCTAGATCGACTCGTCTTGTCACGCTGATCAATAATATATATACTTTGTGGGGTCTGCCACGCCTCCTTCTGCCTGTTACATTTTTCAGCTCCCGCAAACCTAATATACTCTTGTACATTTCATGTACAGAGTTTACATATGTATATGAGTATATGTGTGTATACCTGCTAGTTGTTGTTGTTGTTGCTGTTGCTGTTGTCGTTACGAGTGTTTTGTTATTGTTATGGCGTTTTATGCAAACGACAGTTGTTACAATTTATGGCCAGCACCACAAAAGCAAAACTGCAGCAATTTCGAAGACTGTTTCTTTCGTTTTATTTTTTATTTTTGCTCTCCTTTTTATGCGCAATGCAAATGGAAATTGTGCAAACAATCGCAAAAATAACAACGGCAACTGCAACAGCAATGGCAACGGCAACAACAACAACAACAGCAACAAGAGCAAGTCACATGCGATTCAAATTACTGATATTTCATTCGATGCATTTGACACTTTTGACGCGCAAGGCACACTATACATACATACATATATTCAAATATATATATTCATATTTTTATATATACAAGTATAGTACTAGTATACCCGTATATGTGCGAAGTCAAAACCGGAACCAAAAGGCAGTGCGGCGCGTTAAAAGCTCAACAAATGCCCCACAACACGCAACAGCAGAGAGGAGAAAAAAATCGACGCAATAACAAAAGTTGCCAGGTATTAGCAACTTTTATTGTTGTTGTTGCTGTTGCTGTTGTCGCCGTGGCAGTTTTTCACGCCGTTAAGTCATTCTTGAGATACTCGATGCTGATTTTATAGTCGAGTATGGCTGGCAGCATTGTTGTGTTTGTTGCTGTTGCTGTTGTTGCTGCTGCTGCTGAAGTCTGCCGCCTGCCGTTGCAATTGATTGCTTGAGTCATAGCCCCAACCACAACGGGCTTTGATTGCATTGTGCATTGGGGCAGCAGCAGCAGCAACAGCAACAACAACAACAACATGCATTTCGAACCATTTTAAGCGCGCAGTATGCTTGTCGCCAAACAGGGCAACCAGCAGCGCCAACAAATTGCCACTCCAAAGGTGTTTGGAGCTGTTGCTGCCGATTGCTTGCTGCTGTTGCTGTTGCTGTTGCTGCTGCTGCTGCTGTTTTGCCATGTGCCGCCACCGCCAGCGCCACCGTCTTCGTTGTCGTCATCGCCTTCGTTGTGGTCGTGCTGTTTGCTTTTGGTTATCGCTGACACAACAATGGCCCAAAACATATTTGTACGAAATTTGCAGCAGGCTGGCGCATTGCTGCTGCGACGTATACGTAATATTAGTTTGCTTTGCATTTAACTTCGGGTTGATTGAACCGTCAA